TCATGAAGCCATGTTTTCGTTTGACCACCACTAGATCTTTTCCAGCCTGACCCTATATCAGCTAACATTGCCCGGCAGTTAAGGAAAGCGATGACTAGGCTTACGTAACACATGTCCTAACCATCTCAGTCGATGCAATTTCACAGCTTCATCGATTGATTTCCCCTCCAACTCACCTAGCACTGGATGCCTTACCTCAATATTGCTCACCTTATTATACCACTTCACACGGGATTGGATAGAACGCAGGCACCCATGATCGAAGACAGCCAATCTTTTCATGTCTTCCACTCTCAATCGCCAGGTCTCACAGACATAAAGGAGGATGGAGCGAACTGATGAGCAGTACACCCGCCCTTTGGTCGACAGTGGAACATCTCGTCTACGCCAGAGTCGGCGTAAACTGACAAATTCGAATCGAGCGCCCTGTATCCGTGGTGAGATTTCGTCAGAGATCAACCCGTTGGCACTGGCTGATAGTACTTCCCAAATAAGTGAAGCGGTCAACGTGCTCTACCACTTCACTTCCTATTTCTAATCTAGGAGTCGGTGTAGTCCAGTCCTATAACATCATCTTGCATTGTCCCACATGTCTGACATATATGGCGCAAATACATTACACATTTAAGATAAACTATTTCTTCTCATTATTATTATTATTTTGTTAAAATTCATAAAAGAAGACTAATTGCTTTAAAGTTAGTGAGAACACTAAAAACCCGGGGGGGGGGCAATGGATACCTACCTACCTAGCCGTTTCGTCCTATTTTGGGGCTCTTCAAAAGTGCATACCTACGACGACCCCAACAATGATTGAATCCTGAACCTTCACTATTATATCTGCACAGCAAATTTTAATAACGCTAATGATGAACTCGACTGCCACACTAATAGGCGCCTATTTGTCCGTTGTACCTTCAGATTCACTGAGCTACGCAAATATCAAAAGACAAAGGCTGACTGGCCTGTGACTGTAAGATATTGTAGTGTACATTTATTAGGAGACAAAACATTATATTCATACATTTTCTTTACCACAATACAGTCGGCACACAGCCATAGGGATGGATTTTTCTTAAAGACTGCCAATAGTTATTATAATCGGTTGACGATCCGACAGAGAACAAGATGAAACGAAAAATGATGAATTCATCACAAAATTCGTCAGAAAGCATGACATACTATTTCATGCTGGTTCCTATTAATATATGTGTAATACTCAGGCACTGTGCCAGTTAGTAATTCCATATTAGTTTATTTATTAGATGGATATATCACACAGTCAGTGAAACAGTGTCATTATTTATAGGAAGACTGAGTTTCGAACATAATCTATTATTGTATGGAGGATTTAATCATGAGCTGACATCAATTAAATCCTCCATACAATCAAACCAAATCCCTACAAAACCAATACTTGAAAATTATTCTGATGCTCACTAGCGACTGGCCCTATTCAGGCAGTTAACCTGAGGTTCTAGTGGGAAGCCGTGACCAGTAGGGTACAGCAGGTCGAAGATGCGGCAGTAACTCATCGAAGAAGACATTGCGAAGTGGTCGCGCTATGTTGTGAACTGGCAGAAGTTAGAATTCAACAACCATTGGATCGGGTCCCAGTGGCTCAATGTTCTACGAGATCGCCTTGTAACCAGAAAGTCCTGGGTTCGAACCCCAGCGGGTGCGTACTGCTGATGAGTCCCAAACAGGGACGAAACAGCTGTCCAGCACTCCCAGGTTTTCCAGTGGTTCTCTAACTGATGTCAGCTCATGATTAAATCCTCCATACAATCAAACCAAATCCCTACAAAACCAATACTTGAAAATAATCTATTATTGTTTATTATCATATCGCCAATTATGATCACACGACTTCAAAACTTGAGTTTTACACTTTTCGTTGTTCTCTTCTATTCGTCGTAGGGGTAGTAGGATTTTCCGGATATCTGGGTGGACAGGTGTTGAATCATTCCTATTACACGTATTCTCAGTCAGTTCATTCGATAAACAAAGCTTCTGTTATCAATCTCTCATCATATCCTGTGACATTCTGTCTGTCTGTCTGTTTTCGACATAGAACTTCGTACATATGTGCGGAAGTTCAAGTCGCCACACTCCGTGTAGCACGCGAAGCAAGAGAAGAAAGTACACGAAAAGCATAATAGAAACAGTAAGCAGAGGTGTGAGACAAAGGAGTAATAAAGAAAAACAAAACAGTTTCATTGAAGATCATAAGTCACAGGGAGTGGATGCATCTGCGCCACTGAGAACGATTTTGAGCCATGTCACCAATTGTTTCCAACCATAGATTTTTACCATCCCCAGGACCCCAGACAGGAAGTCTACACTTTCCTACGCGGCTTAGACCAACTGTTGTGGATTTCATTGACTGGTGCCGCCATGTTTTTGTTTGACCACCGCTAGCTTTTTTCCAGCCAAACCCTATATCCGTTAACATTGCTCGTCGAGGGAGGCGATGGCTTGGCATACGTAACACATGTCCTAACCATCTCAGTCTTTGTAACTTCATGAACTTCGTCGATTGATTTCCCCTGTTTACCTAAAACTCGACGCATAACCTCAATGTTGCTCACCTAATTATGCCACTTCACACGGGAAATAGAGCGCAGGCACCTATGATCAAAGACAGCTAATCTTTTCATGTCTTCCACTCTCAATGGTCAGGTCTCACAGCCAGCCATAAAGGAGGACGGAGCGGACTGATGAGCAGTACACCCGTCCTTTGGTCGATAGTCGAACATTTTGTCTACGCCAGAGTCGGCGTAAACTGGCAAATTCGAATCGAGCCCCCTGTATCCGTGGTGAGATTTCGTCAGAGATCAACCCGTTGGCACTGGCTGATAGTACTTCCTAAGTAAGTGAAGCGGTCAACGTGCTCTACCACTTCACTTCCTATTTCTAATCTAGGAGTCGGTGTAGTCCAGTCCTGTAACATCATCTTGCATTTGGCGGGAGCGAATCGCATGCCAAACATTCGTAGATTGCGGCTCAAGGTGTTTAGAAGACTCTGCATTTCGTCAGCGTCCTCGCCTAGTAGAACTACATCGTCTGCATATTCTAAGTCAACGAGATTATTCCCTGGTAGCAAGTCAATCCCTGAGTCGCTGAAGTTACCGAGGGTTAAGTCCATTAACACATCTATGATGAAGTTGAACAGAAATGGGGATAGTGGGCATCCTTGACGGACACCACTAGTCGTCACCAGTTCAGATGACAACTCGCCGTAAGCCCTCACCTGGCTGTATGAGTACGAGTAGAGTGCCTTCATCAGAGCAATGTATTTTCTCGGAATTCCCTTTACACCCAAGCAACTCCAGAGAACCTCCCGGTCGACAGAATCGAATCCCGCCTTTAGGTCAAGAAATAGAATGACTGTTGGACGCCGGTAGGAATTCCTATGTTCTAGAATCTGTCGAAGGGTGAAGATATGATCAGTACACCCTCTTCCTGGTCTAAAGCCTGCCTGGCTCTCTCGTGTTTGTGCCTCCCGAGCACCACTCAGTCTACGCATGATTATTGAGCCTACGACTTTAGATACTATATTAGTCAAGCTAATCCCTCTGTGATTATCACAGGAGGACTTGTCTCCCTTCTTGTATATCGGGATAATCAGTGACTTACACCAACCCGATGGGACTTCTTCTGATTCCCAGACGCTGCCTAGTACCTCAGTTAATGCAGACAGTAAACTGTCTCCACCGTACTTAAATACCTCTGGAGTCATTTCATCAGGTCCTGCTGCTTTGCCTAGTTTCAGATTGGTGACAGCTTTAGTAACCTCAGTTTGGGATGGAGGACCTGTGTCTATATCCCATTCAGGGAGGTGTTGGATGTTCGGCAGGTTAAGCGTGGCTGTAGGCCAATTAAACTGCTCCTCATAGTGCTCTTTCCAGCGTTCCAGTCGTCCATCCTAAGAGCTAATTATAGTGCAATTCTTCTCAGAGATTGTTTCACTTATGATTTGTCTTCTCCCACCCGTATCTCTTCAGGGAAAACCAGAAGCCTATATAGGAAACTATATGCCTGCACTGGTAAGTACAAAAACTCATCCATACCCTACCTAGCTCGTGTTCTGTGCGATAAAGAAAGCATTAGGCATGAAACCTTTAACTTATTAAATAGTCAGTAGAACCAATGGATCTCGTCTTTCCAACTCACATCATTTACAGGTACAACGTTTTCTCTCTCTTCATTCTGTATTTATTTTGTTATGTGCTGTTTTGTTTCTCTCTTCCTTGCAAACTCTACTTAAAACATTCTTGTTCGTTCTTTCACACTCTGTATTTCTCGACCATTTCGCTATCGCTTACGCCAGTAAATATGCTAGTAGTATCTACTTTTCTAACACCTTCAAACACTCTGTTTAAATTTTGGCTTTGCTACCGGCATGCTAATATGTTGTTGTCAAAACTGATTGAGATAACTTTAATCTATGTAGAACTATATTTATTGTTAATGTACCAACTGGATGCAATTGTAGTAAAATGCGGAGAATTCCATTCTGTATCACAAGTACTGATTTGGAATAAAGCTTATCTTATCTTTCCCTGATGAGTCTAAATAGTTGCCTGATGTTGCCTATCCTCAAAGCTTTCTCCATCTCTTTGGCTTTTGTCACCCACCACTGACATAGGATGGGATGATCGGAAGTCCAAATATCTGTTTGAATGTGTGGGTTTTCTGTAAACACACACTGGTGTGTTTAACTTCTCACCTTCTTTCCTTTTTAGGCTACAATCTAACATTGGAAGCTGCCCTTCCTTCCTGACTTTTCAATTCATCCAAGTGAATTGAATTGCTGTGTGTGATACATCTAATAAACCAACCAATATGCTGGTTCCTATTTATTCACGTTGTGAGATCAAGCTGCTGATGAGTCCCAAAGTAGGAGAAAACAGCCGGCTAGCCAGTACCCCCAACTGGTTTTCAATGATAATCTTCTAACTAACATCAATTCATGATCAAAACTTGAAAGAAAAGGTAAAAATTTATCCGAATTTTTTTATTATTTTAGTTTGAATGTATAAACTCTCAATGAATAATGAATAAAACTTAATGCAGATGGAATGTTGTGGTATTGGTAATAACAATAATAATAATAATAATGTACTACTTATGACATAAAAGTGCTTACGTAATCATAATAATAATAATAATAATAATAATAATAATAATAATAATAATAGTAAGGGTAATGGCTACAATTGTTTAGTGAATGACTGCACAATAGTATTTAATCGTTTACATACAGCCAGTGCAAGTGTTTTACACGATGTACTATGTGATACTGATTGGATAATTGATTTCAATGCATCGATTGTATCATGAATTTTCGCGGAATCTCTTTCTGTAAGACATGAACTGGTTGACATGATGCCCAAGAGTAACAGGAAATGAGGTAAATCCTTGAAGAGAAACCACAGTATGAATAATAATAATAATAATAATAGTAAAATGAGAATATTATTGATCAATGTGGAATAAGTTATTCATAAAATGTATTTTGTGGGTTCACAGAAAGATGTTTGTCTGTTGGCTTTCTAGTACTACTACTCATAATGGCACCACCACCACCCGTCAAGGTGCTCAGTCATCACACGACATTCACCAGATGGACTGTGATCATACGGTGATATTGAGTTTGACCACGAATTAATATCAGTTAGGAAACCATTAGATAAGCAATAAGTACTGGGTAGCAGATGTTTCGTCCTAGTTTGTGACATTTCAGAGGGACACACGCCCACTAGGACTCGAACTCGAAACTTGGTTTTCAATGGTTCTCTAACTGACATCAATCTGTGATCAAACTCAAAAGTTTTAGGATTATTAATAAGCAAGGTAATAAAAAAGCTTATTACGTAATCATGTGGTGAGAGGTGGCTGATAGCCAAAATTGGTAGACAGTAATTTGCGTCAATGTTTGCGTCCCCAATATTGGTCATAAGAAAAATAAAAACAACGACTGGCTCAACAACCAATCACAGCAGACTTTGCGTAGGCGGATACAATTTGCAGATAGATAATCTGAACTACAAGAAACGGCTACAAAGGGATGAAAGATTAACGTTCAGCGAGAAACCGCCAGTCAGAAGACTGTCTTTGTTTCCTTACAATAATCTATAATAATGTATATGAAAATCTATAAATATCTCTTGATTCCCTAAATAAACGATCTGTTACCTGGCCCTTGTCTTCTGTTGTTACAATCAGATTAAGGTAGCCAGGTTAAGGTGTTCACAAAAGGAGACAGCAGTCAGCTTGAATCCATCCTTGTGACATACTTTGATTTGACCTTTATGATTTTCTCCTCGTTTAATCCCCTTTTTTCCCTAATTTCAAAATTCAGGACCGAAGCGCAATCCTATAATGATATCATCAATATTTTTAACATACGACGCCAGATCGAATGTCAAATACATGGTGTAGTTTTTCGACAGTCCACTTAGTTCTGTTTCAATAGACCTCGAGAGAACAAAGCTGAAGTCTCCAGTCGACGAAACAACTTCTTATCGTTGATATGTCGACGACAGATTTGTAATATTCGACAGTGGAAATCATGCTTCCTACCTACTCGGATTATTCAGCGACGCACGCAAACACATACACATGTGCAAACATTGAATTCACTATGGAGTATGAAAGTGATGGATAACTTCAATTCCTTGACATTGCCATATATAACGCCAGGTGTATGGTAGTGTCTGCAGAGATTATCAATTTACTGAAAGGCTACATGAAAAGGACACTACTACTACTAACATTTTAATAGTTTTTATTCAAAGGTTACATAAACGAGCACCTGTTAATAACCCTGTTTTATAGAAAGTTAGGAGAACACGGTCTATTGAAAACTTAGAGAAGGAACTTCTACATTCTCATTAATGTTGAAAAATAAATATTACCCTGAGAGATTTATTGACAAGACTCAAATGCCAAATAAATGATGAAGGAAAAGAAGCTTACCTTCATTCAACTTGATTTTAAAGATGATAATACTGCAACACTTGTCAATAGAAGAACAAGGACGTCCCCAACCAGAACCTATATTGAAGCTAAGCTGGTTCCCGTTTCTTAGAAAACATGCCCTTTGGTGTAATTAAAGGTCGACAGCAGTTAGAACGCTCGCCGGCCATGCACATGGTCCGGGTTTCGGTCCCCGGCCGATGCACTCATTTACCTCGCTAAGCCAGTAATAAAAAGCTGGTAAAGAGGAGAGGTTGGACATGAGGCTAGTAACCCGATCCTGTAAAAATTATCACCCCTACTACAGAAACTTCAAAATTCTAGCTTGAAGCCCTATGTTCTACTCGGAACATGGAGGAATAAAAAAAAAGGTCGACAGATACTCTCATCATGTTAACTGCAACTGTGTATACAGATTTACGTGTATCTGCGGGAGAAGTTACATAGGGAAAACAGAAAGAACGGGATACCTTCGATTTTCTGAACTTGTACCGAAAAGCCTACATCTCGAGAAAACAAATGCCTTCAACAGTGTTATTGTCAGACATCTCCTCGACATGGATTATGAAGTGGATGTCGTAAGATCCTTCAAAATTACCATTAGGCGAAAGAGTTCAATTCTCCTCAAGTTTGCTGAAGCAATCTCCATCAAGCACCTGGAACCCGATTCACGCGTTCAGAAAGAAGCAGTTAACAGTCCTTCCTTGCCCTGTTTGGTAACTCTATGTTTTTACCTAGTCTTTCCTTTGATTACGTAACGCCGAAAAATTTCATTGTATTGAGTTCAATGACTTGGCACTGACAGCACCAAAGGCGGTCCTAACAGCTATCTTTGCTCCATACTGAAGATAAACAACAAGGAGTGATGATGGTTAGCGAATCAGCCAACAAACATGTCGAAGAAAATAGAGAGGTATTGGATATAGACTGATGAGACCTTAAAGTGACGCTACACATCCACGTCCTCAAGTGAAGACCGAATAAGAATTGACGGACTTCATGTGGGTCCAAGTGTGAGATGGAGAAGGTCATTTAAAGTGGAAATGAAAGCAATGACAGTGGACGGGAATCCAATAGAGACGTTCCACGTAACGTAAGAAACGACTAATAATAGTAATAACATCCGCGTAAATGCAAAGAGAAAAAAGGATATTTGTGTCTTTTCCTTTCCTTGAAGTCGAATATACTTAAAAAGTGATGGCGATTCCCATCGATAATAAGATTCTCTGGGATAGCTTTATGATAAAAGACTACTATTTTCTATTCATAGCTGGTGAGTATTGGATCAGTGAACCATGTAAGCAGAATAATAAGATAACCATTATAATTACTGTCCCCTTTAATTCCTAGAGGAACATAAGGCTTCGGTCACACGTCTCCACTGCGTTCGGTTCTCCGCCAACGTTTTCATCTGGCCCCATATTTGCCCACGTGCTTTCATCTCCTCTTCACACCACCTCCTCCGTGTCACCCTCACACACGGACGACCAACTCACCGCTTACTATTCATGTTCCACTCGACATTCACAGATTGCAGATCAAGGTGTTCAGAAGACTCTGCATTTCGTCAGCATCTTCGCCTAGAAGGACTATATCGTCTGCATATTCCAAGTCAATGAGATTATCCTCTGGTAACAAGTCAATCCCTGAGTCGCTGAAGTCACCTAGGGTTAAGTCCATTAACACATCTATGATGAAGTTGAATAGAAAAGCGGATAATAGGCATCCTTGAAGGACACCACTAGTCGTCACCAGTTCAGATGACAACTCACCGTAAGCCCTCACCTGGCTGTATGAGTACGAGTAGAGTGCCTTCATCAATGCAATATATTTTCTCGGAATTCCCTTTACAGCCAAGCATCTCCAGAGAACTTCTCGATCGACAGAGTCGAATGCTGCCTTTAGGTCAAGAAATATAATGACTGTTGGACGCCGGTAGGAATTCCTATGTTCTAGAATCTGTCGGAGGGTGAAGATATGATCAATACACCCTCTTCCTGGTCTAAAGCCTGCCTGGCTCTCTCGTGTTTGTGCCTCCCGAGCACCACTCAGTCTACGCATGATTATTGAGCCTAAGACTTTAGATACTATATTAGTCAAGCTAATCCCTCTGTGATTATCACAGGAGGACTTGTCTCCCTTCTTGTATATCGGGATAATCAGTGACTTACACCAACCCGATGGGACTTCTTCTGATTCCCAGACGCTGCCTAGTACCTCAGTTAATGCAGACAGTAAACTGTCTCCACCGTACTTAAATACCTCTGGAGTCATTCCATCAGGTCCCGCTGCTTTGCCTAGTTTCAGATTGGTGACAGCTTTAGTAACCTCAGTTTGGGATGGAGGACCTGTGTCTATATCCCATTCGGGGAGGTGTTGGATGTTCGGAAGGTTGAGTGTGGTTGTGGGCCAATTAAACTGTCCCTTCATAGTGCTCTTTCCAGCGATCCAGTCGTCTATCCTAAGAGCTAATTATAGTGCAATTCTTCTCAGAGATTGTTTCACTTATCGTTTGCCTTTTATCATCTGTTCCCCTGATAAGCCTAAATAGTTGTCTAGTGTTGCGAAAATTGGAGTTGAAAATATGGATCTTATTTCCATTTTCATGCTGAGTAGTGCTGTTGATCTCCATACATACTTGAGAGTAATGAAAGATTGTCTTGCTTTCCCGATCCTCGCTTTAATATCCATATCACTTCTGTTCGCCTGTAGTTAAAGCGATGCTTCCCAGGTCGGTAAGTAGGTGAAGGATGCTGCTTCTTTCACACTCCTCCAATTTATGCTGATAGTTGCCTGTTGTTGTTGCTGTTACTGTTGGCCAGGAATCTTCATCACCTCTGTTCTCTCTATGTTCACCTGAAGGAAGTCCTATCTTCTCTAGATGCTTCTTCTATCTCCAACTTATTGCTTTTCACTTGTATATCTTCAAGTTTGTGGGAAATCAGATATACATTATCAGTGCCCTCCGTGACGTGATGCAGCGCGGTGCGGCGCCAAGTTTCTGATCCGTATAGCACATAGCACTGACTTCACACTGGAGTTAAAAATTCGCATCTTATTTTCATTTTTCATGCTGAGTAGTGCTGTTGATCTTCACACAGACTTAAGAGTACAAAAAGAGACATTTTTATCAAGAAACTTACCTCAGAATCAGGTTCTAAATCACGTAATTGTCGATTGATCACTTCAATAATCACTTCAAAATCATTATGATAGATTAGCGCTGAAGTATCCGGAGAGTAGAATAAATCACAAAGGAATTTGATGACAGTATTTGTAGGCGTAGCTGTTGAAGAATTGACATGATGATTAGACAATACTGGCTTGGTGTCAATCATCAGCTCTTTACTACTAGCATGACGACTGCCTAGATTAGAATTCCACAGACTTTCAATATATTCTAAATCATTATGAGTATTAGGGTCAGCGCGTGAATTCGCTTCAAATACTTGCAAAAACTCCTCGAAACCTTTAGCTGTAGTAGTAGTAGATACAGATGTATCATCAATGCAGCTGTCATGAACAGTGGATTGACAATAGTTAACCCATTGGATTAGACAACTTTCTCTGTCATCATTTTTATGCTTTGGAAGAAAAGTCACCATAAATGTTGGGTCGACTGAAATTAGAAATAAAAAAAACAAAGATTGTAGATTATTTCCATATTAGATCAAATTTGATATAAGAATAAAACTTGTGCACTGTGGTAGAGTATAATTCCATTGTGGGTAAGATTTATTGTGATAAACTCTCACAGTGTGTTTGTTATACAGTAATATTTACTGATGACCAAGTTTCGAGCACAATTTATTACTGCTCATAATCATATCAAGGCACTGCTCACAGAACTTTCTAACTTCGTTTATATAATTCCATTATTTTTCATCGCTTAACTTGATTGGTAGTAGTATTTTCCATACATCCGGTATGTGTGATGAGTCATTCGTATTGCATGTGTTTTGTGTAGACTCACTCGATGAACAAGGATTCAGTAATCAACCATCTCTCTATCTCCACCCATCTTGATTACGTTTTAGAATTTTAACCCTCTCCCACCCAATTGTATGGTTGTGTGTTAATGCATACATACAGTGCAATTGCTGAGCTCTTTTCTAAATTTCTTATCTTCTCGGGGTCAACCTTTCTTACCTTAGCTAAATTCTTATGTTCCGACAACCTGACTACCCCTGGTCTACTAGTTTGACCTATTTAGTTGACCTCAAAGTCATTGAAGGGTATTTTGTAAATTATATTATTTTGTTTAATTGGGTCAACAGGGTCCTTTAACCTACACAGCTTGTCCCTGAATGATTTGTTGGTTTCAATGCCACACTACTTCCTGATTTATTGAGAATCCTACGTAGGCTCTCAGATGCCCCCACCTTATATTGGTCTGTCTGTTTTCGGCACAGGACTTTGCACATATGTGCAAAACACTCAACTCCTTACAGCACACAAAGCAGGAGAAGAAATGCATAATAGAGACAGTAAACAGAGGTGTGAGACAAAGGAATAGTAATAACGAACGAAGAACAATATAGTTTCATTGGAAATCATAAGTCATAGGGAGTGGATGCATCTGAGCCAGCCATTGACAACGATCACTTTGAGCCATATCACCAATTGTTTCCAGCTTTCATCGGTTTTTACTGTCCCGAGGACCCCAACCAGGAAGCCGGTCTACACCTTCCTACATGGCTGCCTGACTTAAACCAACTGTTGTCAACTTCATTGACTAATGAAGTCATGTTTTCGTTTGACCGCCGCTAGCTCTTTTCCAGCCTGACCCTATGTCAGCTAACATTGCCCGTCGGTCGAGGAAGGCAATGGCTCGGTGTGCTTGCGTAAGCCATGTCCTAACCATCTCAGTCGATGCAGCTTCGCAGCCTCGTCGATTGATGTCCCCTTCCACCTACGTAACACTCGACGGATGCCTAACCTCAATATTGCTCACCTTATTATACCACTTCACACAGGAAAAAGAGCGCAAGCACCTATGATCAAAGACAGCTAATCTTTTCATGTCTTTCGCTCTCAGTGGCCAGGTCTCACAGCCATAAAGGAGGACGGAGCGGACTTATATTGGTAAAACTGTACATATCTTATATACTTGCTTATTAGTTATCTATCATATATATAAATATATATGTGTATAACAGAAACTGTGAAGCCGTGTGAATTAATTGCTTTGATTGTTAGCAGTAATCTACGCTCGAATCCTTGTCATCCACTTGTTAGTACTGCATCACTGTGATATTTGAATATAGAGTCATCTAATATGAAATGAATGCGTGAAACTATTTAGAAAGAAGAGAACAGGAAGTTCAGCAAAGATTTCTGTCTTTTCGGCGCTTTCATTTTCAAAGACAGCTGTACAATCGCATTTAAATACATAATTTTACATGGATACAATTCTTGTTTGATTTCACATAATTACGACGGCGAATTAAAGGTGATAATTATTTTCAGCTAGATATGGTTTACGAGGAAAGGCTTAGAAATAAAAATTACACAGGATTAGAACGGATCACAAGTGTGTAAAAAATGAGCATGGAAACAAAAGTGAAATAATAATTTTCAACTTTAAATACCATGTAAGTAAAATTAAACAGATAAAGTTAAGCTTACGCAATTCCATTGTGGATAAAATTTTATTTTGATGATAAAGTCTCACAGTGTGTGCTATACGGTGCTATAATATTTACGGATGACCACATTTCCAGCACTATTGATTCCTGCTCATAATTATATCAACGCACTACTTACTCGCATAATTTCCATGACTTTTCATCTCTTGATACAGTTGGTAGTCATATTTTCCAGATAACTGGTTATGATGATGAGTCGTCGCCTATTCCAAATCCGATCACCACCGCGCCTAGGTAGCAAGCAGTCACAGGTCGTCACATTAGACAAAGCTGTTAAAGCTGATGTACTCACAACCAGTAAGTAGTAAGTTACAACCAGCACTGGGACACACCTGTTTCATTCTAATTTGAAACCACCGACAACTACTCCCCAACAAAAAGCGGGGTCGAACCCGAAACCTTATTAAGATGCTGACAATTAGTTGAGCTGGTCGAATAAATAGATGAATATATCTTCTATAGTTTAGTTTGTAAGGGTTAGTTATGTTTTTTACGAGTTGATCACGGATTTATATCAGTTAGAGAACCAATGAAAACCAGCACTGGAGTAATCAACAGCTGCTGTTTCGTCCTAGTTTGGGAATCATGGGCAGTACGCACACACTGCTAGGGTTCGAACCCAGGACCTTTCGATTACAAGGCAAGCTCGTATACCACTCAGCCACTAACTGGGACCCGATTCAACGGTTCATGAATTCTAACTTCTACCAATTCGTGATGCATTTAGCGTGACACCAACCAATGTCGTTGGTGGAACATCCATCCACACACGTGACATCTAATTGGACCTCATTGGTCACGACTTCTCACTAGAACTACAGGAAACTCCATCCTGTAACAAGTCACTAGCGAGCGGGATGGAGTTATCCGGAGTTCTAGTGTGAAGTCGTGACCATTGAGGTCCAATTAGATGTTACGTGTGTGGATGGATGTACCACCAACGACATTGGTTGAGGTTGCGATAGGTGACGAACTGGTAGACGTTCGAATTCATGAACTGACCATTGAGAAATCGCGTCCCGGTGCCTGAATAGTATATGAACCAGCTTGCCTTGTAATTCGAAGGTCCTGGATTCGAACCCTGTCGGTGGTGGGTGTGTACTGCCAATGATTTCTGAACTAGGATGAAACAGCTGGCTGTTCAGTACTCCCTAGTTTTGAATGGTTCTCTAAGTGATATCTATCCGTGATCAACTCGTAAAAAACATAAATAAATACAAAAAAAGAAACGTATTTATTATTAATACAACTTACAATTACGATTGAATGTTTGAATGACTATTTCAAGGAATAGACGAGATGATATTGATTCACTGAGCAATGCTTCCAATAGTGAATTTTTAACACAAACAGAATCAGTGGGATCATTTTTTGACGGAGAATTTATGGTGTAGACTGAACTATTAAAATGCCAATTACACGCTAAGAAAAATACTGTTACTGTGTATGAAAGCATTTCACACTGACGACTTTGTTCATTAGAGTTGCTGATATTTATATTCATATTATTATTATTATTACCACTATCACCATCAGCACTATTATTATTATTGTTTGTAGTTGAAAGTTCACGATGATCAGTAAAATTTTCTAAATCGATTAAAGTTGAATTAGTTGAACTTGTTGAATCGCATAATTTCATCAAATGACCGAAAAGTTCTCGATCAAGAGATGCTGAAAGAGCAAAAGAAGGCAATATTAATTGTAATATGTGTGTAAAACTTGGGCACTGTGCCAGTTAGTAATTCTATATTAGTTTGTTTATTAGATGGATATATAACACAGTGAAACAGTATTATTCACAGGAAGACTGAGTTTCGAACACAATCTATTATTGTTCATAATCGTATCACCAATTATAATCACAAGACTTTGAAACTTGAGTTTTATAGTCTTCTTTGTATTCTGCTATTTGTCATCGTTGGCGTGGTAGTAGAATTTTCCAGATATCTGGGTGGACAAGTGTTGAATCATTCTTATTACACCTATTCTCAGCCAGTTGATTCGATAAACAAAGCTTCTGTCATCAATCTCTCCCTCCAACCTGCTGTTACATTAGATTTTAAAACTTTCATCTTATCCCACCCGTCCTATTGTATGGTTGCGTGTAAATTCATGTAGTGCTATAGCTGAACTATTCTCTAGATTTCTTATCTTATTCAGATCAACCAATCTAGATTTTGCTAAGTTTTTATGTTCAGCTAGTCTGACTGCCTGTCCCTGTTCTACTACTTTCACCTATGTATTTGACCTGACAATCATTGTTTTGTTTTAAAGTCTCCACAGGATTGATGCTTCAACCGACAAAGTTTGTTTCTAATTGAATTTGTCGACAGTTTGAATACCAGTCACTTTTATTCCTGCCTGCCTTGTTAAGAATTCTGCGTAAGGTGGTTTCCGAGGTTCCTTCCTTTTATGGAGTTACTACTGATGATTTAGATTCCTTATTGTTGGTGTCGTCACTAATATTATTATTATCGCTATTATTAACATCATTATTATCACTGTCGCTACTATCATTATTTAATTTATTACGCAGAATTCTTAACAAGGCAACCAGGAATAAAAGTGACTGGTATTCAGAATCATGGAATATCATCGAGGACAGTAGTACTCAGCCGCCTGGTCTTAACTGTCGTCTTCATTTCAGAGGCTTCGCTGAGTTTCTCGTTGCAGAAATCTGCACAGAAACGCACTAAGTTTAAGTTGCCATATTCCATGTAGGACACACAAAAGTAGACAAACGCGCGTGCGCGCGCGAGAGAGAGAAACGAAATTCAACAGGAAATTATACTGAGCTATAAATGTGTAGAGAAGAGAATATTACCATGTAAAGCCATGACGATTTAGTGTCTATGAAAGAGATCACAAAGACAATGAATACATCTGAACTACTGAAAAAGACTTTGAGTCATATCTATCACCAACAGTCTCTAGGTATCCCAGGGAACCGAAGTGGGTAGCCTACAAAGTAGGTCAATAAACAGACACAGGTTTTCCTGGACAGAGTAGATTGGATTTCACATGATGAACTGAGATCAGTTAGAGTACCATTGGAAAACCACAAGAGAGTACTAGTACACAGCTGTTTCTATTGTCCTAGTTAGAAGCTCTCTTCATGAGTACAACAGCACCCACCCACGCACTCACCGGGGTTCAATCCCAGGACCTCACGGTTAGAAGGCAAGGCAAGCTCGTAGACAACTCGGCCACTTAGACTTGATCCAATGGGCAAACCAATTCGTGATTAATTTGGCGCGACTGGGAATCAGCAAATGTCATTCCTCCTCCTCACACCAGACCTGCTGGTTCTCCAACCCAACCATGAAATCCCGTAACCAATTAAATCCTTGAAAACCAATACTCGCATATGGTTTTAAAAAAAGAATAGAACAAGCAAAAAAGAAAGGTCATCCTTACTAGATAAATCCACAGGAAGGCTTGGTGAACGCGCAATCAACATGGACAAAAATCGTAATCTTAAAGCAAGTTGTGGAATTTCTAAAATCACAAAAAACATGTAAAAAGAGAAAAAATATTAAAGTACAGAAATAATTCAAAGATTTTTATGTAGACTGTGTATAAAACTTGGGCACTGTGGTAGAGTATAACTCCATTATGGATAAAACTTTATTTTAATTAAAAAAACACACAGTCTCGTATAGTTATATTTACTGATGACGTTTCGACGTTGATCGCTTCACTTATTTGGGAAGTACCATCAGCCACTGCCAACGGGTTGATCTCTGACGAAATCTCACCACGGATACAGAGGGCTAGTTTCGCATATGCCAGTTTACGCCGTCGCTGGCGTAGACGTAATACCCGTCTATCGCCGAAAGGGCGGGTGTACTGCTCATCAGTTCTCTCCGCCCTCCTTTATGGTTGGCTGTGAGACCTGGCGATTGAGAGTGGGAGACATGAAAAGACTAGCTGTCTTTGATCATAGGTGTCTGCGTTCTATCTCCCGTGTGAAATGGTATGATAAGGTGAGCAATATTGAGGTTAGGCATCCGTCGAGTGTTACGTAGGTGGGAGGGGAAATCAATCGACGAGGCTGTGAAGCTGCATCGACTGAGATGGTTAGGACATGGGTTACGCAAGCACACCGAGCCATCGCCTTCCTCGACCGACGGGCAATGTTAGCTGACATAGGGTCAGGCTAGAAAAGAGCTAACGGCGGTCAAACGAAAACATGACTTCATTAGTCAATGAAGTTGACAACAGTTAGTTTAAGCCAGGCAGCCATGTAGGAAGGTGTAGACCGGCTTCCTGGTTGGGGTCCTCGGGACAGTAAAAACCGATGAAAGCTGGAAACAATTGGTGATATGGCTCAAAGTGATCGTTGTCAATGGCTGGCTCAGATGCATCCACTCCCTATGACTTATAATTTCCAATGAAACTATATTGTTCTTCGTTCGTTATTACTATTCCTTTGTCTCACACCTCTGTCTACTGTCTAAATTATGCATTTCTGTTTACTTTTTTCTCTTGCTTTTTGTGCTACATGAAGGGAGTGTGGCGACTTGAACTGGTACACATCGGTGCAAAGTTCTATGTTGAAAACAGACGGACAGATGATGTTTCGAGCACAAACTACTGCCACTCATAATCATATCAAGGCATTACTCACACGCACAACTTTCTTGCTTCATTTATATAAATGAGTATAAATTGATGATTAGACATTTGAGTAAAAATCAATATGGGATAATGTGCATTCAGAAATAATAATGTCAGTGTTATCTTTCAATAGTTGGTTTGTAAGGATTAGATTTGTTTTTAAGAGTTGATCACGGATTGTTAAATAAGCGAAGATAGCAAAAGCAGCTCAAGCTTTTTGGATCTGTGGATCCTAGCTCTACAATTACGCATACATGTTTATATACATGGAATATTCTAGATTAGTAGTCAATAACAATGTTAGTGTGTTTTTTAAATAATATCGATTTGTTAAGTAAGATCACAATGGAATAACTACAGTTCATTAAAGATGCTTAAATTATAATAATAATAATATAATAGCAAATAGAATATCAAATTACATTAAGGAAATGACTAAAATAACAAATTAAGGATCATTCGAACCTAGATGGCCAAGCGGTTAAGGATAATGTCTGAACTAGCTTATTTTAGAAGCACAACTTAGGCTTCTTAATATGGATCTCAACGGTCAGCCTCAGCAATATTTAGTAGTCGAACTCTTAAGGTGAAGTTAAGACTTGTTCATATGCGGTAAATGACTTTGGAAGCCACCTCGTTGACATCAATCTTGTGTTCTGTATACACAAGATGAGATTGAATAGCACTATGAATAGATTTCGCTTGTTCTTTACTTAACCAACCACTGTGCAGTGTGATGTTCGGAAATCCGACAAGAAACACGCCTAATTGTACGGCCCATATAACTGGCTCCATAGAAGTTGATCACCATCTGTAAGCATAATTATATGCATCAACATACATAACACATAACACTATACCAGATAATTGGAAGCAATCGGCCACAGGAAGCCTCCCACCTAGGTTTCGTGCTACAGTCCCACAGGAGGTCAATCGCGAGCCCAAATAGCTCAGTGGTAGCGTCTCTGACCACAGGCGGCACTAGGTGACGCGGATTCGAATCTCAGAAGGGACATGAGTTCCTTCAAGGTTGCAGATATGCCTTGCTGACTGGTGAGTGCCAACTAGCACGAAACCTAGGTCCAAGGCTTCCTGTGGCCGCTTGCCTCCAACTATCTAATACCATCAAATCAATGTGCACCGTGATTGCGAACTACCTAGAATGGTGGCCACATTGCAAACCTGACTGATGGAACTCAGTCTGCACCAAGGAAATGACTAGACATGTCACACAAGTTACTAGTGCCCGACGAAAATAACCCTATACTGAATATCATAGAAATTGGGAAGGATAGTAATACAGAATTGGAGATGGTAGTTAGGTTATGGAAACACGTGCCCGGCTAAAGAGGACAGCGGAAAATATAATAGTGTAGACATGCTGTTGAAATCCTCCCTTTGTTCCGCTGGAAAACCAAGACGAAACACTCCTGAGAATAATAATTCGAGGTAAACAAAAAAAGAAAAGCAAAAGAAGAAAGGTAAAATCAATAGAATTGCTTACCCTCTTCTGTAGTGCATCGTATTTCTCGAACCAGTTCAGCAGGAAGAACTGACTCAAGACAGATATGAATACAGGCGGAATCTAAAGAACAACATATTCCAATACATCTGAGCAATTTGCCGCGTATTTCTTGATTTGTTTCACGTTGATATAAACCGATAAGCGCACGAACTGATCGATATTCAACTACACGAAGATAGCAGACAACTAATTGATGATCTGATCTTTCCTAAAATAATGTGTTGTGATTTAGATCACCAGGTGGAAATGAAAAAAGTGAAACAGTATTTACTCGTCAGTTGTATATTGAAATTTGTCTAAAAGTTATTTCATGGAAAATTCCCATTGTAACATATAGAAAATCAAAACAAGCGGTGATTCGGCGGAGAAACTCTTTTCAACTAATTTATCATCAAGCTGCACAGTCGTATACATATGGCTTTTAGGAAGTTATATCCTGTGAGGGAATTGAATCATACGTGTGAATGCATAAATAATAATAATATGAAATGCAATTAAAACAGAAATATTGGTGTATGGGTAAAACTTGGGCACTGTGGTAGTAAGTAATCCTATATTAGTTTCTTTATTGGAAACAGTGAAACAGTATCATTATTTACTGGATGATATGTATCCACATATATATGTGTGTATGGTGGTCTCTCTTTCTGTTTGCTCGCTTAGTCTGTGACTATTTCACTTTGATGAACCTGTCTCCTTTAACAATGTACATTCCCCTTTATATTATATATAATATGAGTGTTTGTTGACAGTCCGTTGCTTAGTGACATATATCCATATATGGTGGTTGTTGACATGTCTGCCATATTTTGCTATGTATATTTGGATCGACACTCCATTATAATTAGCCATTCATGTTAAGACTGTCTATTGAATTGTTCACACACTTGTCTGGACATTCATATATATTTCGTTCTCACAATTTGTGTGACTTACACTGACTACTTACTTTGGTGTGATACCACTTATTGCTTCTCCTTGTGTTTGGAAAATAGAAGTATCATCGCAAACCTAGTGGTCTTCTGATTTCCGCCTTCTTGAGTCAGGACTATTAAATTCTCGACCAGTACATAACAATAATTTGGCGACGGGGAAAAATACTATTAACCACTCAGCAGCAGCAACATAACACTGGATGACACCGTTTCGAACAAAATTTATTGTTCATAATCATTTCATCAATTATAATCACAAGACTTCGAAACTTGAGTTTTATAGTTTTCTTTGTCTTCTCCTATTTGTCATCGTTGGCGTGGTAGTAGAATTTTCCAGATATCTGGGTGGACAAGTGTTGAATCATTCTTATTACACCTATTCTCAGCCAGTTGATTCGATAAACAAAGCTTCTGTCATCAATCTCTCCCTATACCATGTGACAGATTTTAAAACTGTCATCCTATCCCATCCCATTCTATTGTATGGTTGTATGTAACTGCATGTAGTGCTATAGCTGAACTATTCTCTAGATTTCTTATCTTATTCGGGTCAACCAATCTAGATTTTGCTAGGTTTTTATGCTCGGATAGTCTGACTGCCCCTGTTCTACTAGTTTGACCTATGTATTTGACCTGATAATCATTGCAGGGTATTAGATAAACTAAATTGTTTTGTTTTAATGGCTCTACAGGATCCTTTAACCGACAAAGCTTGTTTCTAATTGAGTTCGTGGGTTTGAATGCCACCTTTATTCCTGCCTTGTTAAGAATTCTGCGTAAGGTTTCCGAAGTTCCTTCATTGTATGGAATTACTGTTGATGATTTACATTCCTTATTGTTGGTGTCGTAATTAATATTATTATTATTATCACTATCTCTGTTATCATTATTTATTTTATTTTTATATTTACTTACATATTTCGTGACTAATTTATCCGGGTAATCATTGAGTTTCAAGACTTCTTTTATGTGTATCACTTCCTGTCTTAGATTTTCCTTGGTACTACTTAGTTTTTGTGCTCTGTCATTTAAACATTTCACTAATCCTACTTTCACTCACATAGGATGGGATGATCAGAAATCCAAATATCTCTTTGAATGTGTGGGTTTCCTGTAAACACACACTGGTGTGTTTAACTTCCCATCTTCTTTCCTTTTTACGCTACAATCTAACATTGGAAGCTTTCCTTCCTGACTTTCCAATTCATCCAAGTGAATTGAATTGCCTCTACCTTCGAGTTGATGCGTTCGAAAAATCTATCTATATCCTGTGTTCTGAGTACAGTGAATGTGTCATCTACATACCTCCACCATACTTCGATGTGGGGTGGGGGTGATCGTTTCAATCGCTATGCTTTCCCACCTATCCATGAATATATCTGCTACAACCGGGGATATTGGTGATCCCATGGCAACACCCTCAATTTGTTTGTATATTTTCCCTTGGAATTTAAATACTGTGGAAGTCAGGCATAGTTGCACTCCAAGCATTATGTTCTCAAGTGGCACTTTTGTCCTAAGTTCGAGTTGTTGGTCAGAAATGAGTTCGTTTCTGACTGCCTCTATAGCCATATTTATTGGTATACGTGTATATAAACTGACAATGTCAAAACTAACCATTTTTTCTTCATTATCTAATTTTAAATTATCTAATCTATGTTTTAGTTAATAAGAATTAATTAGTCTAGATTTCGAGTGGCTTTTTAGAGGATTTATTACCATGGCTAAGTATTTAGATAATTCATAAGTAGGTGAATTTCTAAAATCAACTATAGGCCTAATAGGGTATCCTGACTTATGAACTTTAACAACACCATACATCCTACTGGGGTTATTTGTTTCGGGCATTAAACTGAACCACTTAGAGTAACCTAGAAACGGCTTCATTCGGCGTATAAGGTCCGCTGTGGATTTCTTAACTTTATTCATAACTGTGTCTTTTGATTTATTAATTTCTTCATATGGTTCTGTTTGTATGTGAGTATTTACCTTGTCCAAATAGTCTGATTTGTCTAATACTACTGCTGCGTTTCCTTTGTCTGACTTTGTGATTACAAAACAATTAATGTCGTAGAATAATCCATAGAATGGAAAGAACTTGTAAGAGGGTGTGCAATTATACCATTAGTAGACAAATCGAATAAAATAAAGACGTTACATAATATTGTGTCTGTCTGTCTCTGTCTGTTTTCGACATAGAACTTTGCACAAATGTGCGGAAGTTCAAGTCGCCACATTCCGTGTAGCACGCGAAGCAAGAGAAGAAAGTACAAGAAAAGCATAATAGAAACAGTGAGCAGAGGTGTGAGACAAAGGAGTAATAAAGAAATACAAAACAGTTTCATTGAAGATCATAAGTCACAGGGAGTGGATGCATCTGCGCCACTGTGTGAAATTTGATAGCATAGAATTTAACGTTATAAAAAAGAATTGATTTGAATGACAAGTGGAACAAGTTCACATCGAGGAAATGAATGCTTGACTCGTTCTCCATTTCGAGTGTGAATTTTATCGCAGGATGGCAACCATTAAATACATTTAATATATTATTCAAGTTACAATCCCTATTACAAATAATAAAGGTGTCATCTACATACCGTTTATACATTTGAAAGCTTTCGTTTGTAGGCTTCAGCTGACCATTTTCTAGACTGGACATAAAACAGTCTGCAAGAAGAGGACCCAAGGCAGAACCCATTGGAATACCATCCTCCTGTCTGTAGATTGTCTCATTGAGAAGCCAGATCTCTGTGTACAGAAAAAGTTCGTTCAACCCCTCTAACTTTCATGGTCTTAATCCCTCTATGCCAAAATATGGTAATCCCCAATCATATTTTAGCTCTTCCAATTTTTCATTTTGTCTATTAAGTCCATTGTTATTATTACTATTCTCACTTTGAACTGTCCCCGGTATTATTTCACTTGTTCCACTTGTCATTCTAAATCAATTCCTTTTTACAACGATAAATTCTATTCCATCATATTTCACACAAAATTACGTAACGTTTTTATTTTATTCGATTTGTCTACTAATGGTATAAATGCACACCCTTTATCAAGTTCTATCCATCCTATGAATTATTCTATATATGACATTAATTTGTTTTGCCACTTGACATTTAACTACGATTATAATCACAAATATTTTAGTTTCTAATTGCATTTCATATTATTATTATTATTTCATGCATTCACACCTATGATTCAATTCCCTCATCGGATATAACTTTTTAATAGAAAATCAAATATATATATACGATTGTACAGCTTGATAATAAATTCGTTGTTGGAAAGAGTCTCTTCGCTGAATCACCACTTGTTTTGATTTTCTATAAAAGTTATTTATTATAGTCATGGTAAAGTGGGGGAATGAAACGTGGCTTGTGAACATTTAATCTTAATTTGTACTATTGGATCGCTGAGAAACTTCTTAGTTATTTCTGCATTATTTTATTTTTAATTTTTGAATACATCTTGATTCCACTGTCCGTCTGTTTTCGACATAGAACTTTGCACAAATGTGCGGAAGTTCAAGTCGCCACACTCCGTGTAGCACGCGAAGCAAGAGAAGTAAGTACAAAAAAAGCATAATAGAGACAATGAGCAGAGGTGTGAGACAAAGGAGTAATAACGAAGAACAAAACACACATTTCCACACTGTATATTTGGTACAAGTATGGAATTTTCAGCATGGATATTGGTAGCTAAATTTTGCAGGCCGACCATAGATATCAAGTGTGCGTCGACAGGGGATCGAACCTCGGACCATGCGCATGGTTCGCGAGAGTCCTAACCACTGTTCCACCGACGCTTCATTCCAAACAATAACAACAATTATACAAAATGGACTATTCAGAATTTTTATACATATTGCAACAACTTAACTCCTTTGATAAATATGTAAGATATATAAATTTAAAAAAAACCACAACGAACAGAAACATTATTTATAACCTTAGGTTCCGAGTGGAACATAGAGCTCCAACTGCTTGCAGCAATTGAAGTGCCTATTGACAATAATGCCAGTTAGGCACACACATCACTAGCCCTGCCTACCTTACAGCCTTCAATGTACTACATAACATGGCATAGTCTTTTTTGAGAAGTCCAGAGTAGAATAAGGCCGAGCAATAAATAAAGATGGGCAGAATACATGAATTAGTAAATTGTACGAGAAGAGGCAAGGCTGTCTACTATCGCCAATGATTTTCCTGATTGCAGTAGATTGGATAATGTGACAGACAACGGGCGATTAGGAAAAGGCATAAAATGGACTCACACAAAAAACTTGAAAGATCTGGACTTCGCCGATGATACATGTCTGATTTCCCACAAACTTGAAGACTTACAAGTGAAAAGCAACAAGTTGGAGATAGAAGAAGCATCTAGAGAAGATAGGACTTCCTTCAGGTGAACATAGAGAGAACAGCGGTGATGAAGATTCCTGGCCAACACCAACAGCAACAGACAACAATCAGAATAAATGGGAGGAGCCTGAAAGAAATAACCTCCTTTACCTACCGACCTGGGAAGCATCGTTTCAACTACAGGCAGAGCTGACGAGGATATCAAAGCCAGAATCGGAAAAGCAAGACAAGCTTTCACTACTCTTAAGTCTGTGTGGAAGTTAACAGCATTCAGGATCAAAAATAAGATCCGGATTTTCAACTCCAATGTGAAGTCAATGCTACTCTATACCAATCAGAGACTTGACGCATCATAAAGAGCACCTCAAACAAACTACAGACCTTCATTAACAGCTGTCTTCGCTTAAAACTACTCAAGATCAGTTGGCCGGCCAAAAAAGACCAATAACCGGGATCTCTGGCAACGGACCAACCAGGAACCGATTGTGCAATAAATAGGCAGGAAGAAATGGAGATGGATTGGCCATACTCTGGGAAACCATCAAGTGACATCGCTAGACAAGCCCTCCAATGGAACCCGAAAGGGAAGCGGCGAGTCGGTCGTCAGCGAGATGGGGACTTGGAGGAGGTCATGCGGAGAGGAGATAAAAGCATGTGGGCGGACTTGGAGAGAAACTCATGCCGAGATAAGAATCTGTTCAGTATATAAGAACAATCGAATGAAGAAACTACTGGTACAGAATATGGTTAGATCGTCAGCATATTTTTTTTAATGAAGTTAACTTTGGAGAAATGTAGAAAGTAAACTAGATGCTGTTAAAATAACTTTCTCTACTAAAAATAAACAATAAAAATGAGTGCTTACCAGTAAGGTGATTAATTCATTCAACCGTTCAAGAATATCATATTGATCATCGTGTAACCGCCAATTACACTCTTGATCGTTACTTTGACGTGATTCAAAGAAACGAAATTTAATCTTAAGAAACCACCAATCTGGACTTTGTGAGTACTCCTCTTCTGTTTTCACCACATCTGTTGACTGGAAACCAAAATTCAGAATAAATATTATGATAATAATAATTTGCTTTATTCTAATACAGTACCTGCGATACAGGTCTGTCTGTCTGTTTTCAACATAGAACTTTGCACCGATGTGCACCAGTTCAAGTCGCCACACTCCCTTCATGTAGCACAAAAAGCAAGAGAAGAAAGTAAACAGAAATGCATAATTGAGACAGTAGACAGAGGTGTGAGACAAAGGAATAGTAATAACGAACGAAGAACAATATAGTTTCATTGGAAATCATAAGTCATAGGGAGTGGATGCATCTGAGCCAGCCATTGACAACGATCACTTTGAGCCATATCACCAATTGTTTCCAGCTTTCATCGGTTTTTACTGTCCCGAGGACCCCAACCAGGAAGCCGGTCTACACCTTCCTACATGGCTGCCTGGCTTAAACTAACTGTTGTCAACTTCATTGACTAATGAAGTTATGTTTTCGTTTGACCGCCGCTAGCTCTTTTCTAGCCTGACCCTATGTCAGCTAACATTGCCCGTCGGTCGAGGAAGGCGATGGCTCGGTGTGCTTGCGTAACCCATGTCCTAACCATCTCAGTCGATGCAGCTTCACAGCCTCGTCGATTGATTTCCCCTTCCACCTACGTAACACTCGACGGATGCCTAACCTCAATATTGCTGATCCTATCATACCACCTCACATGGGAGATAGAATAGTGGCACACTACTTCTAAAAACCTATAATGCCCTTCGAAATATGACATAATCCTTTTTTGAGTAGCCCAGAAAAGACTATGGGGGAGTTATAAAGAACAACAGGTATGAGATGCAAGAGTTAGTAAATTGTATATATAGATGTTGAGTGATTACCTACCTGACAGTGTTAACCTCATAATGTAGAAGGTCAAACGGAATATTTTCTTATAAACCGACAAGGTATAAGAGGGCCAAGAAAGATAAGAGGATAGAACTATTCCAAGGTATATTCTGTGTTTGACTCAGTTTCTATTTCAGTGCCCTCTAAGCTACAAGCATTTTTTAAACGAACAAGTTCGTGTAGAGCACGTTTATGAATGCCTGAGGGTGAAGTTAACTGTCTAACATTTAGAGGCATTTAAAGTAAGATTATTTAGCTTGGACTGGCTTATATCCAATGAATGGCTATTGATTTTGGAACAGTCAGATCAGGATGTATCAGGCAACGAGACAGTCAGATCATCAGCGTATTTAACGATATTGATTTCTGCCGAAAGAGGCACGTCATGTAATAAAGTAAAAAAGAAGGGGAAAGAGAGAGACAGAAGTATTTTTTACAAATAAATGATGTATTATTATTATTATTGGTACACTATGGGCACACACAAAATCTCATATTCTCTGGGAGGCGTGGTCTACTGTCTTAACACCCGGACCAAAGTGGGTAGTTGTCTGAAGGGGTTATTCCCACTCGAGTCTGATCCACGGGGAATTGGAGCAGAGTTAGAAGCTACATTCTCATGATCTCCAGAAACCAAACCAGGTTTGTACGATATACAATCCTTTAGGATTCTGGAGCACATGTATGCTATAGGTTTGGAGCCAGGGTTTTCCAACACCACGCCCCTGTCTGTCTGTCTCTGTCTGGATTCAACACAGAACTTCGCACCGAAGTGCACCAGTTCGAGTTGCCACGTTCCAAATAGCACACAGAGGTAGACAAGAAGATGAGTGAAGAGAATCAATACAGTCTGACAAGTATAAGAGTGAAACAGAATGGGTAATGGTAGAAAGGAATATGAAAGATTACAGAGACTGAATACATCGGCGCTGGCCATTGACAACGATTTTGAGCCATGTCACCTATTGTCTCCAGCCATTGATTCCTAGAGTCCCGAGGGCCCCAACCCGGAAGTCTGCATCTCCCTACCTGACCGACTCAGTTTAACTGTCAAGGATTTCATGGATTGATGAGGCCATGTTTTTGTTTGGCCACCACTTACTCTTTTCCAACCTGCACCTATATATTAGCTAGTGATGCCCGTCGGGGGAGGCGATGGTTAGGCATGCGCACCACGTGACCTAGCCATCTCAATCTATGTAACTTTATAGCCTCGTCGATTGATTTTCCCTGTTTGCCCAACACTCTACGCCTAACGTCAACATTACTTACCTTATTATACCACCTAACGTGAGAAAGAGATCGCAGACATCTATGATCGAAAGCAGTCAACCTTTTCATGTCTTCAACGCGTATTGGCCATGTTTCAGAGCCATAGAGAAGGACGGAGCGAACTGGCGAGCAGTACACACGTCCCTTGGTTGATAACCGGATGTCACGCCTACGCCAGAGATGGTGTAAGTCAGCGAAAGCAGCTCGAGCTTTTTGGATCCGTGCTGAGATTTCATCGCCAATCAGTCCGTTGGTGCTAATACAACTTCCCAAATAGGTGAAGTGGTCAACATGTTCTATCACTTCACTCCCTATCACTAAGTTAGGAGTTGACGTGGTCCAGTCCTGTAGCAGCATCTTACATTTTGTAGGGGCGAATCGCATGCCAAACATACGAAGATTGCTGCTCAAGGTGTTCAGAAGACTCTGCTTTATTTTGTCAGCATCATCCCCCAAACAGGACTGTCATCTGCATATTCTAAGTCCATAAGACTATTCCCTGGTAACAAGTCGATTCCTAAGTCATTACGTTCAGTTAAGGATACTTCCATCAGCATATCTATGATGAAGTTAAACAGAAATGGGGAAAGTGGACATCCCTGTCGGACACCACTGGTTGTTACCAATTCAGATGACAATTCCCCATAAGCCCTTACGCGACTACGTCAGTTTGAATAGAGTGCCTTGATTAGTGCAATGTACTTTCTTGGCACTCCCTTCACAGTCAGACATTGCCATAGTACCTTTCGATCCACGGAGTCGAAGGCCGCCTTCAAGTCAAGATATATGGCAATTGTTGGACGCCAAAAAGTGTGTCTATGTTCTAGAATCTGTCGAAGAGTGAAGATATGATCTATGCACCCTCTACCTGGTCTAAGCCTTGTCTGTTCCTCCCGAGTTCTGCTTAGTCTATGCATGATTACTGAGCCTAGGATTTTAGAGACTATGTTCGTTAGGCTGATCCCCCTATGATTATCACACGAGGACTTGTTTCCCTTCTTGAATGTCCACGACCCACCCCAACTTGGTAGACCTACCTGTATTCCTACCACTTCAGTTTTAACAGTCAAACGACGGTATTCGCCCCTTCACTTTTGTGAGGAACAACCCCCCTGAATGGAGGCGCTGGGTAGAACTTGCCTGACAAAGGCCATGAAGGCGTCGGGAAGACCAAAGTCCACCTACCATCAGCCATAGCTAGTTGTTTATAGGGGCAAAATGAGACATTTCAATAGCTACCATCCAACGTCAACATGCACGTCGTCACAGAGATTGGATAAGACCTACAATGTGTACTACAGTAGTATGTTGTGGATAATGAATGAGAGGCATTTTAATTGTGAGGGCTAATATCACGTGACGACAAGTGAATACATATATTTAAGGTTACCAGCCCTAATCAGGTGATCTGGTGGGTAATGCTACATAATAATAATAATAATAACAATAATAGCTTTATTCTAAACAGTATTTGTGGTACATGTATGGAATTTTCAGCGTGCATTACAATATATTGCATTTAATTACTTCATAAATTTTATAACATTTTAAGATCAAAAAGCAACACCCAAGAAAAAAAAGATAAATAAAAAAGCAAAAAGAACAACGTTGCGTTTACATTTTAAACTATGCACCACAGGATATGAAATATGAAGTTAGTGTGTGATAGAGGATGAGTACAACAGTGTAATAGTAACTAAGAAAGGAAAACAAAAACTAATGGGACTATTTGTTAGAATCCCGCAGTAAGTCGATCGTGTCATACCTAACGAAATTCTCATCACATAACAGCTGTGCTAGGTATGGTATTGTGGAATTTTCTTACTTGGTAGTCCTAGCATATAGCCTCTTATAGCTGCAAGGACAGCTGCGTATAGTAAGGATGCTCGGGGTCTGACAATATTGTATTCGCTAGTTTCTTACATGGCATTATGTCTATCCACAATAGTGTTAACCAGTTGGTTTAACGATATCCCACTGTCTGTCTGTCTGTTTTCGACATAGAACTTTGCACAAATGTGCGGAAGTTCAAGTCGCCACATTCCGTGTAGCACGCGAAGCAAGAGAAGAAAGTACAAGAAAAGCATAATAGAGACAGTAAGCAGAGGTGTGAGAGAAAGGAGTAATAACGAAGAACAAAACGGTTTCATTGGAGATCATAAGTCACAAGGAGTGGATGCATCTGCGCCACTGAGAACGGTTTTGAGCCATGTCACCAATTGTTTCCAACCATAGATTTTTACCGTCCCGAACACCCCAGCCTGGAAGTCTACACCTTCCTACATGGCTTAGACCAACTGTTGTGGATTTCATTGACTGATGCCAAGTTTTTGTTTGACCGCCGCTAGCTTTTTTCCAGCCTGACCCTATATCCGCCAACATTGCTCGTCGAGGGAGGCGATGGCTTGGCATACGTAACACATGTCCTAACCATCTCAGTCTATGTAACTTCACGACTTCGTCAATTGATTTCCCCTGTTTACCTAGAACTTGACGCCTAACTTCAATGTTGCTCACCTTATTATGCCACTTTACACGGGAAATAGAGCGCAGGCACCTATGATCACAGACAAGTAGTCTTTTCATGTCTTCCACTCTCAGTGGCCAGGTCTCACAACCATAAAGGAGGACGGAGCGAACTGATGAGCAGTACACCCGCCCTTTGGTCGACAGTGGAACATCTCATCTACGCCAGAGTCGGCGTAAACTGGCAAATTCGAATCGAGCCCCCTGTATCCGTGGTGAGATTTCGTCAGAGATCAACCCGTTGGCATTGGCTGATGGTACTTCCTAAGTAAGTGAAGCGGTCAACGTCCTCTACCATTTCACTTCCTATTTTTAAACTAGGCGTCGCTGTAGTCCAGTCCTGTAACATCATCTTACATTTGGTGGGAGCGAATCGCATGCCAAATAATCTTAGATTGCAGCTCAAGGCGTTTAGAAGACTCTGCATTTCGTCAGCGTCCTCGCCTAGAAGGACTATATCGTCTGCATATTACAAGTCAACGAGATTATTCCCTGGTAGCAAGTCAATCCCTGAGTCGCTGAAGTCACTTAGGGTTAAGTCCATTAACACATCTATGGTGAAGTTGAATAGAAAAGGGGATAATAGGCATCCTTGACGGACACCACTGGTCGTCACCAGTTCAGATGATAGCTCGCCGTAAGCCCTCACCTGGCTGTATGAGTGCGAGTAGAGTGTTTAAATCAGTGCAATATATTTTCTCGGCATTCCCTTTACACCCGAGCATCTCCAGAGAACTTCTCGATCGACAGAGTCGAATGCTGCCTTTAGGTCAAGAAATATAATGACTGTTGGACGCTGGTAGGAATGCCTATGTTCTAGAATCTGTCAGAGGTTGAAGATATGATCAATACACCCTCTTCCTGGTCTAAACCCTGCCTGGCTCTCTCGTGTTTGTACCTCCCGAGCACCACTCAGTCTACGCATGATTATTGAGCCTAAGACTTTAGATACTATATTAGTCAAGCTAATCCCTCTGTGATTATCACTTGCTCTACTAACAGCTTTTAGTGACCTTCTCAGCAAAGCAGTCTTTCTTTATTCAGTGGTCCAGGAAAGATTAATGGGGAGCAGTAAAGGGGGATGGGTAGAATACAAGAATTGACAAACTGAGAAAGCAAAGACTGCCTCATACCAGACTGCCTGAACTTTCTAACGTAGAACGTTAAGCGAAACACCTTTCTGGTAACTAGCAAGATGTGGGAGGACCAGGAAAGATCGGTGGAAAAACTCAGCCCAAAGTACTTGACATTAGATGTATATTCAACCTCTATGCCGTCAATGATAGTGGGGCCATGTGATCTAGCTAGTTGTTGTAGGTCACGTTTACGTCTTAAAGTGAAATTGACTACCTGACATTTAGACGGATTCAGCTTAAGACCGTTTGAAGAGGACCACTGATTAATTTCCGACAGAAAGTTATTTAATTTGGAACAATCTGACTGAGAGTTGACAGGCATAGAAACAGAGATCATCAGCATACTTAACTATGTTGAATCCAGACAGACAGCATACTTAACAAAAGTGGCTACATATCATATTGGCTATCAATTATTTCAGTACAGGAAGCAAGAAGCTCAAATAAAGTAGCATGTAAACAAACTAAACTATAACTGATCTCAGATAAACTGACTGGTTGACTTCAACAGAGGACTCTGCAAAGATGTGAAGCAGTTTGAGTTGACACACTCCATGTTGCAGACAAAAGTACAAAAACGGAGAAAAAGGAGGTTCAGAGGAACGGCAATAAACAGAAATGTGACAGAGGAAGAATAGTAACGTGGAAAAAAATCGTAGGGTTTAATGGATATGACAGATCACAAAGACTGGATGCATCTGCACCATCATTGACAACGATTTTGAGCTATATCAGTAATTGTCTCCAGTCTTCATTGGTTCTTAGAGTGCTGAGGACACCCCCACACAGTCTACACCTCCATACATAGCTGGCTCAAACTAACTGTTAAAAACTTCATGAACTGATTCCGCATTTTTGTTTGACTACCCCTAAAAGTCTTTCCCAACCTAAACGTATGTCAGTTGACATTGCCCATTGGTAGAGGAAGGCGATGTCTTAACCATCTCAGTCGATGTATCTTCACAGCCTTGTCGATTGATTTCCCCTCCCACATACGTAGCACTCAACGGATGCCTAACCTCAATACTGCTCATTCTATTGTACCACTATTTAACACGGAAGATAGAACGCAGACACCTGTGATCAAAGACAACTAGCTTTTACATGTCTTCCACTTCCAATGGCTAGGTCTCGCTCACAGCCATGAAGGAGGACAGAGCGGACATACCCCCTTTGGTCGATAGCCGGATATCACTTCTATTCCTGAGATGGCGTACACTGGCAAATGCTACACGAACCTTCTGTATGCGTGCCCAAGATCGCAGTCAAAATAAAAGAGGAAGACTAAAGGAGCATGTTTTTTTATCTACTGCTAGATATGATATCACTGAAAAGATATCAAAGGTTTCACTCAGGATGAATACTTTCATACAGGCGCTGCTAACGCACCAAACTTTCATAAATCAAGTAACGACTCGAAATTCCCACATAAGTACATGTACATCTGCGGTTTAATGACAGACTGCTTGCCAACCATGCGTAAGGTTCGGGTTCAACTCCTAGCCCACGCACTTCTAAACCTTACCTATCTTACTAGCTGCTATCTAGCCCCGAAAGGAAGGAAGACTCATTGTGAAGCTAACAACCCTACTCCTAAAAAATAAACAACACCAAGGCAACTGAAACTTCAAAGTTTGAAGTCTTATTTAAGTGTTGGTTTGATTGGTTACAGGATTTCATCATGAGCTGACATTAGTTAGAGAACCATTGGAAAACGAGTTGGGAGTACTGGACAGCTGTTTTCTCCGTCCTAGTTTGAAGCCCTATGTTTAACACAGAACGCAAGGAATAAAGAAAACATAAACACACACACACACACGCACAGGAGATGAGTAAATATATTAGTGACCAAATATTACCTTTTTATCGGCTTGAAGATTTTCTTTCATCCCTGGTATTACACAGGATAGCATACCCATCAATGCGGAATAGACAAGTCCACAATCTGAATAAGAACAATTTGTTGCAAGTCTTATTGTGTCCAGTAGACGGTATTCGAAATTCTTTGGTAAAATAATATTTCTTTCAGTTGGTGTATATTTGTCAGACTTTGCTATTATTAAAGGGGAAAAAATCACAATAAAATAAAATAACCGTTAACACCATTTGTTTTTATAACACAATAAACTGGTCTCTCTATCGGATACATTATATAAAAGTATGCAATGATAATGAATCATCAATACGATAAACATCGTTGGATCTAGAAGCCAATAAATAGTGAATATATTCGCGTCCAAAAATCGTAATATTTCTTGACCTAAAGACGGGATTCAGTTATGTTGACCGAGAGACACTCTAGCGATGGTTGGCTGTAAAGTGAATGCCGAGGAAATACATTGCACTGATCAAGGCACTCACTCTATACTCCAAGTCATGCGGTCAGCTAGGTGAGGGCTTACGGCGAGTTGTCATCTGAAGTGGTGACGACTAGTGGTGTCTGTCAGGGATGCCCACTATTCCCATTTCTATTCAATTTCATCATAGATGTACTAATAGACCTAACCCTTAGTAACTTCAGCAACTCAGGGATTAACTTCTTACCGTCAGGGAATAATCTCGTTAACTTATAATACGCAGAAGATATAGTCCTCCCACCTGGGTGAAGACGCTGACAAACTGCAGAGTCTTCTGAACACCTGGAGTTGCAACTTGCGAATGTTTGTCATGCGATTCGCTCCCTCCCCCCAAATGTAAGATGATGTTACAGGACTGGACTACAGTGACTCCTATATTACAAATAGAGAGTGGAGTGGTTGGTGGGACACGTTGGCCACTTCATCTATTTGTGAAGTTGCATCAGTCAACACCAGCGGGTTGTTCTTTGACGAAATCTCACCACGGATTTAGAGGGCTAGTTTCGCATATGCCAGTTTACGCCGTCGCTGGCGTAAACGTGATATCCGGTTATCGACCATAGGGCGGGTGTACTGTTCATCAGTCTTCTCCGCTCTCCTTTGTGGCTGGCTGTGAGACCTGGCTTTTGAGAGTGAAAGACATGAAAAGACTAACTGTCTTTGATCATAAGTGCCTGCACTCCATCTCCCGTGTGAAGTGGTGGTATAATAAAGTGAGCAATATTGAGATTAGGCATCCGTCAAGTGCTACGTAAGGAGGGGAAACCAATCGACGAGGCTGTGAAGTTACACCAATCGACATGGTTAAGACATGTGTTACGCATGCATGCCTAGCCATCCATCTCCTTCCTTAACCGACGGGCAATGTTACCTTAAGACGGATCAGGTTGTAAGAGCCAGTGGTGGTCAAACCAAAACATGCCGGCACCAGTCAATGAAATCCACAACAGTTAGTTTAAGCCAGCCAGCCACGTATGAAGGTGTAGACTTCCTGGTTGGGGTCGTCAGGATGGTAAACACCAATGGCTGGAAATAACCGATGATATGACTCAAAGTGATCGTTTTCAATGGCTGGCTCAGATGCATCCACTCCCTATGACTTATGATTTCCAATGAAACTATATTGTTCTTCGTTCGTTATTACTATTCCTTTGTCTCACACCTCTGTCTACTGTCTCAATTATGCATTTCTGTTTACTTTCTTCTCTTGCTTTGTGTGCTACATGAAGGGAGTGTGGCGACTTGAACTGGTGCACATCGGTGCAAAGTTCTATGTTGAAAGCAGACAGACAGAGTGCATTCGCGTCAGTGAAAACGATTCTGTGCCACGTAACCAACAGTCTCCAGCCTTTATTTCTTGGCGTCTCCAGAACCCCAGCCAGGCAGACACCTTTCTGCGTTACTCAAACCAACAGTTACACAAGCAGATGTACACTACTTGGCTGCCGCAAATCTGTTGAAGGGGTAAATATAATCAATTCATCTGCTAGGCGTTCACGTGCTCATTTCTCCAGGACACCATTTGGCCTACGCATGAGATTATCTAACCTAAAATCTTAGGTACTACGACAGTCAAGAGAACCGCCACAGGGAGAATTATCTCCATTCTTAATAACTTGGATGATCAAGGATTTACATCAGTCTAATGTGACTATCTCAGCTCCCCACAAATGACTTAATATCTTACTTAACCCAGTCAGAACTTCATCGACGCTGCCATCAAACAGCTCCGCAGTCATGCCACGACGTGCCACCGATTTGCATAGTCTCAGAATAGAGGTACCTTCTACAAACTCATCACCATTGGAGGATCTAAGTCCCATTTAGGTAATTGCTAGGTGTTGGGCTGTGAGCCCGTTACATTACTCCTCAAAGTTACTTTCAGTGTTAGTCTGTTTCCCTGAGAAATAATCATAGAATAGGCTAATCGGAGACTGTCGCTTATAATTTGTTTTCACAAGCAGATTCCCTAGAGCACCTAAATAGTTGTCTGGTGTTACCTACCACCGATGTTCCTTCCATCTCTTTGACATTTGTAGCTAATCACTACTACGGGTTGTCACAAAGAACTTAATTCAGCTTCCATTTGGAGAAATCTTGCTCTTCGCCACTTTTAGGAGTCAGGGCAACAGTAGAGAATCGACACTAACTCCAGACGACCCTGAAACAGCCAATCAGATTCTTTTAGGTGAGAAGTGGTGCTAAATTTACAAAGAAGTGTATCTACGATATATATGTAATAAAAAAGGTATATATCTCTGATGTCACAAAAACTTGCCCCAGGTTCTCATAGAAGTGGCTATAGACATATCACCTTATAAAGACTTCCTCATATTAAGTGGTTGCATTCGAATGTATAAACGTCAGTAGCCCGGCAATACTTCTTCAGGGTCATTATTTTTTTCTTTGATTACAGCTTGATTCCACGCCGTATTTTTGGTACAAGTATGTAATTTTCATCATGGATATCGGTAGCCCAAATTTCCCAGACCGACCATAGATATCAGGTGTTCATCGGCAGGGGATCGAACCTTGGACCATGTGCATGGTCGGTGAGAGTCCTAACCACTGCGCCACCGACGCACAGTACGTGTTTTAATCCTCCCTACCAAACCATTTTCCAGAGAGAAGTCAAAAGCCAAATCTAGGAGATATTTTCAACGAGGATTATGACTAACAACCATCTGTAATGCTGAGCTATTTGACTGGTCAAATCAAGGTCATTCGACTTTGGTGTCTATTGTTTACTGTTGCTAGGGTCACTCCTCTTGTGTCAAAAAATCCGACCCTCATGCCCACTAGTTGTATCGCATGGCTTCTTAATACGCTGCTCATTTAGCCTTACAGCACTCGTATTACTTACTATTCTACATTTTTGTGGTGAATTCCAGTTTTAAAGAAAATTCTTGTGAGCTCTGAAACTGAAGTTCCCCGAAAACGTCAAAATGTCATCAGTTTATGTAGGAAGATATTTTAAAAAAAACTCACTTTCTGCTTGAGGTATGCGTTCTTTAGGATCAGTTATCTTTAGCTCAGAAAAGTCTCCAGATGATTTCACATCGTCAGGTGCTATTGTATCCATGCGTTTGTCTCCGCTTATCTGCAACAAACGTCTGGGGATTACGAAGTCACAACTAGAATCAATAGTACCTAAGCAAATCCTCCTTCCCCCAAATTTCTACTGTTTTATCATACAAGTTGACTAATGCATTTCTAGCACACTCAACTTTGATGTTTTCATCCTCAGTCTGACATATTAATGTTACATGCAAATATAAGGTACCTCGTATTTTACGACAAAATTTGATGGAACGCAACCTAAAGTCCCATCTGTCCTAGAAACCAAACGCCAATCCTGATTTTCTTCACGAATATCTAAGAAAATTTCATTCTGAGAGAACTTTAAAGTTCCTGGGAAAGGACCAGGGTAAGCGTATAACGCTCGCAACATTCTGTCCTACGAGTGGCCTTGACGTCGCGTAGGTCACGCAATGTTAAACAATAAAACAACCATATGCCATAGGCAGACTTCAGACTTTTGAAATACAATTACAAGTAATCTTATATTATTTTATGTAAATCACTGTAATGTATGTGGCTAGTCTTGTTTGGAATGGAATAAAAACTTACTTTGTTGGCATTCTGGCTAAGAAATATTTTGTTCAAAATTTCATGGATGTGATAAGCTTCTGAACTTTTTACTGAAGTTAGATCAAATACATCAGTGTCAGTTGCACTGGCTCTAGTGAAATACCAAAGGAATGGCGCTCACGCAAAGATGAACTACCCTAAAAACAACTGCAGTGGTTAATAATTTCCTAAAATCATAGGTCTACATCAGTCTTCATTCGACGCTGAGTGCCTAGCTACACAGGATAATTCTAATGACCAAGTCGAAGCTACGTCGTCGGAAACTCGCGTCACCTAATAATCTGTCGTGTTTCATCTGGTCGTTCTTACATGAACCCTAGCCACTGAGATAATTATCACTTTGCCTTCTTGATCCCATAATATATCTCGTAATCCGGATAATCGTTTGGTTGTTTCCATTAGCCTCCGTTGTCAGTAGAACGAGCACTTTGGAAGTTGGAGGATAAACACTTTTATCCCCATACAGCGTATCGTGCGCAACCGTCTATATCCATCATCCTGTATATCACTCAGTTACGCGCCAAATTCTATATTTACTTTAATATTCCGGATAAAAGCACTGTGAATGTTGAAGAGGCTGACGAATATGTTATCGTAAGGATGCGGAAATTTGACACAAAATGAAACGCATTACGTTCTAGCAGTAAAGTGACTTGGAGTAAACGGGATAGTTTTACACCGTATATTGAATAGTGGATGAAAAATTGGGAAATAACTTTGAATCACACCTAGGTAGGGAAGTCAGCCTCTTATAATTCGCCCTTCTCAGTTGTGATTGGCAGCAGGATCCTCCATGGTTCTTGGAACATTAAGTCAGCCTGATGGCGTACTGGACAATAACAGTAACTGCATTCTAGCTACTGATATCGGTTATTGCATGGGAGAATTCCAGTTAGTTCAATAAACGTTTCAAGATTGAGCTTCATGGACTGTGTTTGGATAAATTTTATTTTCAAGCGCATCTCAAAAGAGCTAATCAATCTACGTATCCATCATTAGAGGGCAAGTGACCACGGTATAACTCCTGGCATTATGGAACATTAATAAAGAAAAGTAATAATGGTATAAATTTATGCCTTATGCTAAATCACAGGATTTTTCTGAGATAGTCCTGCACGTCTCGGTTCAACTTTTGTTCGTATTCCTCCCTGTAATGCCTCCAGATTCTACAGTATTTTGATGAAAAGTACTGCAGCTCAGTGGAGATGGGGAGGTTCTACGACCTTTTATACTCGGGTGTTGTATATAAACAGCAACGATTCATCATCAGTTTTATTGAGGATAATAATAATGTAGTAAAAATAATGTGTATTCTCATATAAACACATAAATTTACATGAGAATGCATGCCATTTTTACAGGCACGATCAAGTATGATATAATATCAAATCGTAGATTGTCTACAAGTTAATTATGTTTCAACGGCTAAATATTATATATATATATATATATATATATACACTGATTGTCTGAACCAGGCCATATAGTTATTGAGTTGTACGCTTGTCCTTTAATTTTCATCCCGTGGTTGTAGGCATACGATAACCAACCAATATTGAGATAAGTACAACGTTTACAAGGGATAGAAAGCTGTTTTAGAAGAGTAAAAGTGCTAAGGTGAATCAATAAAGTGCAATGTAATGGGTAAGTGCAAGTATCACTAATAAATGCAATAATAAAGGAAACTCCCCAGGCTGACAACGTTCATTTGCAATGTATAATGCTTCCTGTACAGTTTGCACTATCACGATGTCCACTTTTGGTTTTAATACATTTATCCTCATGCCGGTTTTTTATTTTACACCTTTTTGTGCATTTGGTGTACAACCGTACCCTACAGAGAATAGGGATAGAATAAGTCGAATCAAATTCATAAAAAGCTATAAAATGTTAGGTTTAATGGGATACAATGAGGATCGAGTAAAGACGTTATTAGAAAATGAATGAGATAAGACCTTGTGGTGTGGTATTTAAAGATCCGACAATGGATAGCAAGTCAATTTATAAGATGCCCCATAAATCTGTGCAGAGCCCACATGGTCGCATCTCAACAATAGGCGGAGTGAATGGTATATATTTAAAGGCAGAAGCATGACCTGTCTAGACGTTCATTATTATCTTTTTCAAGATAAAGGTCTAAGCCCTCATAAAAATCATAAAAATCTCGAGCCTTTAAATTGTATATTGCTGTTCCTGCAGAATGGGGCGATTCACCTTAGTGACCACCACCATATCTACTGATCAGCTAGCGCCACCCTCCCTCCTTTTTTGATGCTAGGCTCTGAGACTTTGATTATTATGGCTACTGCAAATATATTGCTTGGTACCAGACATGTTCGTACCCCATATTCCATCTCCCTAGCTCGTTCTATCTGCAATAAAATTCCGTACCTTCACTCCTTACTTTCTCTTTGTAAGCCCTCAGTACTGTTAGTCACCGAGACCTGGTTACCATCTGACAGACTGTTAGAATCACCGGGGTACACACACCTTAGACACGGCAGAGAAGAAGGACGTGGTGGGGGTTGTCTTATCTTTGTTAGCAACGAATTCCACGCCGTAGAAGTTGATGATTCGGGTTGCTCACTGGCAGACGCAGCATGGGTTACACTCAATACTAACTTAAATACAAGACTTTTATTGGGATGTATATATCGCCCGCCCAATTCTGATACTAACACAACGAACCGTCTATGTGAAATTTTCGAACACGCCTCCTCTCTAAATTTTGACTATAAAATTATAGCTGGCGACTTTAACATGCTCGGTATTCAGTGCAATAGCCTGAAGGTTCCTAAATACACTGATCGTTTTATAAATTCGGTTGAACTCTATGGATGGACACAAAATGTTAAGCGCCCCACACGTAAATCCAACATCTTAGATCTAATCTTCACACATAACATTCTCCCCGTCAGCACTCGAGTTGGGCCTTTATTCCCTGGCAGTGACCACAACATGGTCATTTCCACCATTAACCTAACAGCAAGTGGGTCAGGCAAAGGCCGTCGTCGGGCAGTAATAGTCAGGGACTTTTCAAGGGCTAATTGGGAAACAATGCGGTCTTTTATTCGTTGCCAAGACTGGGATACCTTTTTCTCCTCGGCAGACGTTGATACTGTCCTTGACAGTTTCTACTCCAACATATCAGCTTGTTTCCACGAATCTATCCCTTGGTATACATCCAAACGCAACTGTGTAAATCAACTATATATACCGGATGCTACCAGGAACAAGCTACGAAAACTCCTTAGAACCTATAATAGATCCATGAAGTTCTCTTAGCTCATTAGCATCCTAAAGGTATATGTTAAAATCAGATCAGATAATGCCGGTAAAATTTACAAAGAAGAACTTATCGCCCTTAAAAGTAACTCCAAAATTAGCTCTCTTTGCAAACTCTTCCAAAAAAGACTGAAACAAAAACAAGGCAACATTCCTTACATTCTTCATAATAATGTCGTTGTTAAGGATGATGCAGGCATAGCTGAACTCTTTAACAAGCACTTTTCTGACTCATATACGCATAATATTTCCGGATGCATAGAATTTGACCCGTTAACAGGCAAAACACTGTCAAATATATGCTTGAATGTTGGTGTTATAGAAAGAGCAGTGTGTTCATTGAGATTCTCCAAAACTCCTGGACCTGACTCAATTCCGTCATCTTTCCTAAAACATGGTGGCTCCGATCTGCCTCTCCTTTTGCTTAAAATATTCTCAACGTCCCTTATGAACGGAGTTTATCCTTCCAAATGGAAGCAGACATATATTATCCCTAGATTTAAATCCGGCTCAAAATATGATGTAAAGAATTACAGGCCAATCAATATAACATCTGTCTTGTCTAGGATACTAGAGAAGATAATCAATACCAAAATCACTGACTTCTTATTGACTGAAAACCTCATAACACCTTCTCAGCATGGTTTTGTAAATTCCAGGTCATGTATGACTTGCCACCTGGAACTATTTGACTTTGTAACTGGACTTACTGACCGAAAATTCGTTGTACTGATTGTGTATATCTATCTTAAGAAGGCATTCGATAAAGTATGTCATGATTTACTCCTGCAAAAAACTTAAGGCTTACGGCATATCTGGCATCACTTACACTGGTGTAATTCATTTATGCGTGATCGGTCCTAGTCTGTTAAGATTAACGACACTTATTCCAGTACCACTTCAATATCAAGTGGCGTAATTCAAGGTAGTGTACTAGGACCTCTCTTCTTTCTTACATATCTAAATGACGTCTGTGATGATATAAAGCATGGCGGACACTTTGTCAGTCACGTCTCTTAAACCGTTAATGCCAAGCTCTTGCTGCACTCGGGCTCACGCTGTTCCTTGAAGTTTCTCAGAAACGCTTAGTAATAACGGACGGAAAAATCAAAACACCAACTGTTGACTCGAGGATTCTTTATTGTTACACCAACATATAAAAATAATGATTTTACTAGGGTCTGTGAACAAATATTACAATAATAAATCACAATATTACTTCTGATGGTTTACTGCTAACTTCTTTCTGAACAACGACCGATGAGACGATGACTGTCGTATTGATGCCTCCGCGAAAATTGGGGAAGTTGATTTTGAGCAAACAACCATGAATTGATCGTTCAATCTTCAACTCCAATGAGACACCTCTTGTCACACCTCTTCAGTCATTCAAATCCATTTAACTCCAGCTGCTGACTGCCAAATTAATCTAATATTACATGTTATAGTATATATACATTATTATATTACCATATACGTCTACGGAAATCCCAGCCCTACACGGGATTTTCTAAAAAAATCTGTTTAAATACACTTTGATTCAACTA